CAAAAATAAATAAACGTTGAAAAAAAAATTTTTTTTTTAAATGTTTTTAAATGTTTATTTTTGAGAAAGAGAGAGAGAGAGAGAGACAGTGCGAGCGGGGGGAGGGGCAGAGAGAGAGGGAGACCCAGAATCCAAAGCAGGCTCCAGGCTCCAAGCTGTCAACCCAGAGCCCGACGCGGGGCTCAAACTCAAGAACCGTGAGATCATGACGCTTAACCAGTGGAGCCACCCAGGCGCCCCAGTTGCGTTCTCCCATCTTAAAATACTCACGGAGTGGTCTGCACACCCTGCCTCCCGTTCCTCAGCTTCTACTCTTTACTTCCATCTGGGTCAGCCCTCTGCCCTCTGATGCCCCTGCCCCAGAGCTCTTCCTGAAATGCAGCTTTGTGCCCCCTTGCTTCAGGGCCATGAACCTACATTGCCTCCTGCTGCTCATGGGGCGCCCACGCACCCTGCAGCCCTCTCTTCCCCGGTGCCCCTTTCCCCTGCTGCCAGCTCACTTCGTTCTAAATGTGCTCTGAGGGTCCCACCGCTACGCTTTTGCTCAACCTGCTTTCTGTCTCTTCCACCCTCCACCTGGTGGGCCTGGCTTGGGAGCCACGTCTCCCACCGTGAATACCCCCCTGCCTCTGAAGTCAGCACCTCATGAGGGATCCGCCTTTCTAGAGCATCCGTTTTCTCGCTTGATGATGCTGTGTTGAGGGTATGCTCTGAGTCGCGCCCTGGGCTGGGTGCACCCTTGGCAGACGTGTCCCTGCCTTTGGGGAGCATGAGGTCCAGGGGCATGCTGCTTTGGGATATTAGATTCACACCCCGGTGGGAAAAGTGTATACCACGTACAGCTTGTAGTCTAGGGCCCTGCATTCAGTGAGCTCAGGACCCACAAGGACTAAGGACTCCTGCTGAGCACCTGGCATGCTGGCCCAGGGCTCGGTGCCGCGTCAGAGCTGGGTACACCCCTAGGCCTAGTCAAGGCACCCCAGGGGGAGGGCAAGCAGACACAATGAATCCAGCCCTTTGCCCTTTTTAAAACACTTCTTATGGGGCGCCTGGGTGGCTCGGTCAGCTAAGTGTCCGACTTCGGCTCAGGTCATGATCTCACGGCTCGTGGGTTTGAGCCCCGCGTCGGGCTCTGTGCTGGCAGCTCGGAGCCTGGAGCCTGCTTCGGATTCTGTGTCTCCCTCTGTCTCTGCCCCTTTCCCGCTCGTTCTCTCTCTCCCCCTCTCTCAAAAATAAATACATATAAAAATAAATAAACAAACAAAACGCTTCCTGTTCAACTTCCAGAACGCTGGCTATTATAAACTTACAGAAAAGCGCACACGTTTTAGGCGTACCCTTCAGTGAATTCTCACACACTGAACATACTTGTGTAACCAGCACCCGAATCGTTGCTGGGAGCAACGAGACATTGCTGGGACCTAGACACCCCCTCCTCGTGCCCCCTCCCAGCCACTACTCACCGCAGAGGAACGCTATCCTGACTTCTAACCATGTGGATTACCTTTCTGCCCATCTGGCGTCTTCCCCTAAAGGAAAT